TCATAACGTAGATCTACGTCAAGACTAGCTTATTATTGTAATAATGATCAGTTGCCGGGGGGGGGGGGGACTGACGCGTATGCGACGTTCAACGCCCGGACCGATAGCGCCTCCCCCCCCCTTCCCCGACACGCACACACAGCCACACGTGTGCAGGCCGCCCATCCGACCCCGACACACGCTAACGAGCCATCTTTAATTGCTTCTGATGACCTCTTGACAAATAATCAAATAAACATTTATTAGAAGCGCTCTAACATTACAGGCCGGCCTCAAATTCATCATAAGATAAAAACTCGGCTCCGGCACAATTTAACGCCATTTTGCCCGAAGTGGTCCCGGTCTCTACCCAGCCTGAGCCGAGTCACGAGTGAGGCAGGACAGGAAGCCGGAGTCATGAGTCACAGGAAGTCGGAAGTGATGTCATGCTGGACAAGAATCATAGTCCGAATAACATTTTTTCATATTCGGACTCGAGTCCGAATAGTCACTTCGTTATAAAGTAGTCAAACTTCATACAATTACTAAAAGGCCACCTCTATTCTCACCCCGGGTGAGAATAGTGCAGGCGAGTCTTTTGGCTATTCTCACCCGGTGCGCGTTCACCGTTATAGCCTGGATCTAGGCCAACCAATTTTGCGTTCACCCTAAACCACAGAATTCTACACTGTGATAACAGAAAAATTGTAGAATTCTGTGCCGTGAACAAACATTCCATTACTACTGTTAGCCTACTAAAAACGTACAATTTTGTCTGTGGGCAGTGGAGAGAGAGAGAAAGAGAGAGCGGGAGGAGTAGCGCGAGAACTTCCGGGCGAAACAAAATGGCGACCCGCGTAGTTCGGCTCGATTCCGAAAAGTTAAATAGCCGTAGCATCTTTGTAGACGACCAAATTAATTTACTTTTGTGTTTTAACATCATTGTTTAACTTTGTTTTGGTCAATTTGATCGTCCACACCGATAGACAGTATTCAGAAAGAGATAGAGAGAGAGAAGAGAGGAGGAGTAGATCTTGCGAGAACTTCCGGGCAAAACAAAATGGCGACCCCCGTAGTTCGGCTCGATTCGAAAAGTGAAATAGCCATAGCATCTTTGTAGTCAATAAAATTAGCTTACTTTTGTGCTATAACGTAATCTTTTCTTTGCTTTTATCCATTTGATCATCCACATCAATAGAAAGTATTCCGAAATTAGGAAAAACAGGTCTTGTTTCACACCGGGTGAGAATAGCCTACGGTGGCAAGTCTCACCCGGGGTGAGAGGTCGATCGTATTTCTATTCTCACCCCGGGTGAGAATAGCCACTTCCTTACAAGAAGGATGATACGAAGTGCCCATTGACAGAGTCAGACTGGGTTGATTAGATCTGATCTGATTGCTACTTCAACGCACTAAACTACGAATAGACCCATCCTTCGTCAGGGCCTAATTAGTGCCAAGTTTGATCCAGCGGATCCAGAAGTTTAGACTCGAGGAGTCGAAGTGACTAAGAGTTCACCAAGTCACTATGTGACTCGAGTCCGAGTAGACAAAAACTATAGGTTGGCTCTATTTCTCCTAACGGTTTCCGTCCTCGAGACTTTTTGATTACATTTGCGAATGGAGTGGCCCACACGAGCGCGTGTGTTTGTATACGTGTGTGTATGTATAGGCGCCTAAGGTGAGAACGGGGGGGGGGGGGGGGTTGAGAGTTTTTTTTGTTTTTTTTCGAAGTAACATTTTCTCTGAACGCTCAGGAAAATAAAAAAGTTGAACTCTATTTCTCCGAACGGTTTCTGATCTCTGGATTTTTAGGTTAAATTTTCTAGATTTAGGCGTCATCCTTTCATACTTTCATTCTGCTATTCTGCGAGGACTGGGAGGAAGCATTTTTTGCATCGAATTCAATTTTTTGAGCCAAAGATTTTTAAATGTCTGAATATGCAGATATATACTTCAGTTGTGGTTGGGGCACTTTTCCCGGACTATACTTCATTTGTAATCTTTGAAAGGTACTGTGAGAAAACAAGACTGCTCGACCTTGGCAGCAACCTATTTTGCATTTAGTCACCCAAGCAAAAACTAAAATCCTTCATGTAAACCCCCCCCCCCCCCCCCCCGTTTCACACCTTACACCATAGATGTACGCTATAGTACTAGATACAGTACGCCCCTCTCTCTCCTTGCTGCGCGATGGCCACATTTGACAGCGGCGTCCGCCATGTTTTTTGTGGCAAGTTGTGTGAAGGAGTCCATGCTAAAGCAATGGGCTAGGCATGTTTTCTCTCTCTCTCTCATACGCGACAGGCGAGGCTTGGTTCTTGTTGATTTTTTTTTACATGGGCGCCGTGGCGTACTAAGTTGCAATAATACGGTGTTCTTTCTACAACTAAATCTACAAATAAATGTATTATTAAATAGATAGAGATAGAGATATGGGCTTTAAAAAAAAGAAGAAAAAAAAAGCAACCTTTATTTTTTCATCAGCACTTTATCTACAAGGCGGTTTATTTCTTATTGACCGAGTCAAAGCGTATAGGGCATACAGAACTTTTAAAAAGAAGTATGAAAAGATGTGGGTGTCATGGGAACCTCCCAAAACCACCCCGCCCTCTTCTCTCCTCCCGAATCCCAATAC